CATGTACCCCTACTTCAATCGCTTAAGTTGTTATCTAGCAAAATGACTTTGGGTTTTAAAACTAAGGAAACTACAAACTAAACTAGCAAGGAAAAATAAATAAAGGAAAAGTCTAACTAAGGGAGCTTCACCCGGGAGTTGCTTCCCCCTAACTAGCTACCATGACTCGTTGGATTGAATGGAGTCGTGTGGCGTAGGTGGTTGTGAACCGCGGGGGTGAGCAACTAGTAATCGATTTGTCACGGAACCGAATCACTAGCGATCGATTTGTCACGGGATCGATCCACTCACCAATTCTAAAGTAACCACTAGGAGGAGAAACTAGTGATCCATTTGTCACGGGATGGTTTCACTGGAGGTCGATTTGTCACGAGATCGTTCCTCTCACTCACTCACTAGTGGTTGCCTACGTCTCTCCCTCAAACTGGAGTTTGAGCTGCTTAATCACAACCAACCTAGATGCAAACTGTTAATCGTGAACCGCAAAGGTATGCATATATGGTCAGAGACCACAATCTCAATTGCTAGACCGAGGTAAGCATGAAAGGCGGTTTCACTCGACCCTCTCGGCTTAGAAAATAGGTAGTTGACTTACTCCCTCACTCAACTCTAAGGTCGGACGTCTTAATCGTGATTAACTAACTTGCTTAACTCAATATTGAGGGTTGCTCTAACTTAACCTAGTTTAGGTAGCTTAGAAAGCGGGAGGAAAACCATCTCGATTGAGTCTCCCTTGGAAGGGGGATTTTCCTCTCTAATCTAGGCTAAGGTGGCTAATTAGATTGCTAGCGCCAACATGCACATACCTGAGAGTGCTAAGCACAATTATGCACAACCCTTAGATTGCTAAGCACGAGCATGCACAATCACCATGAAAACACCTCTAATACTCAAATTGATTCAAACCCACGCTTAATCAATCAATCTAAACAAGTAATTACAAAGTATTAGTTAGGGATCTACAACACCCAAGAGAAAAGAGTGAGTTGGATTACAAATTTGAGCTCAAGATCTTCTTCTTCTTCTAGGCTTGAATCTTCCACCCAAGCCTCCAATGATGCTCCAAGATCACTCTAGGACTCTTTCTCTCACTAAAACTCCCCTTTGGTGTTTTAGGTTGAAACCCTAGAGAAAAAAGTGTTTCTTCTCGAAAACCTAGCTCCCCCTTTCTCCTTCAGCTCCCCTCTCCTTTTATACCCAAATCAGGTCAGTTCAAGGTTTTACAGTTGAGTTCAAGGACGCATTGAGCAGTTCATGGTCTTAGTTCAAGGACGTGTTTAGCAGTTTACGGTCTTAGACCTCAGTTCACGGACGTGAACATTGAAACGCGTCCGTGAACTGCAGGCGTGCGCCAAAACGCGCCACATCGTTCACTCGAGTTCACGGTCAACTACCTTTGTTCAAGGCCTTAGTGACGTGAACTCACCTTGAGCTAGTAACCTTCACTTTGGCTCTGGACGCCTGGCGATTCACGATCAACTCCTCTTCTTCACGATCATGCAAGACCGTGAACTCCCTTGGTTAGCCGTGAACTGAATCTTTTTCACCTCTTCTCCCGGTTTTCAATCCTTTTTGCTAATCTTTCGACTCCGAGGCTGGTTTCACCTGTTAAATCATGAAACACACTCAAACACGAAGAACCTAGCGTAAAACCAACCTTTAAGGAGTGAATTTGGCACAAACACCTAGGTAAAACGTGGCAAAACATGTGCAATTAGGCCCGAATCAATATGCTTCTAGAAGGAAAAGGAAGCATACTAGATCATAACTGAATTTTTACTTGGAAGATGGAATTATATCCAACACACCTGATTTTGATGTTTTGTGTTGGTGGAAGTCAAATAGAAGTAAATATCAAATATTACATAGTGTTGCAAGGGATATTTTAGTTATTACTGTTTCTATAGTGGCATTAGAATCTGCTTTTAGTACAAGTGGAAGGGTGATTTCTTCTAATCGAAGTAGGCTGGATCCAAATACGGTAGAATGTTTAATGTGTGCTCAAAGCTAGTTGCGTGCTACTTCTCAAGCTCAAGGTAATTATCACAATTCCAAGTGTTGATTCCTTCAAATATCCATAATCTATGAATCTTTCTAATTGTTTTATGCATGAGTGCAGCTGGTTCCACTGCACAGAAGGCCTCACATGGTACTATATTTGAGGATTCTGATGGAGAGGAAGGGAATGATCCTGAGGTGCTGATCCATTGCATTTTCTTTTTCAATTACAACATTGTTTGGCTGTTTAGTTCTTTCCTTTTTCCAATTTCACCGACAACTATGTTTGAATTATTCATATTTTATGCATATATGCGTAGGTGCAGGTTAATGGTACGCAAAGTTAGGGGAAGCTAGAGAGGAGGTATTTGCTATTCTGCAGACTGAGGAAGGCTGGCTGGATGCTTCATCTCATCATTCTGCATGAAGTTTGAAGACTGAAGTTTCCTGATTTTTCATTTGATCAACTTCTGTTATGTTCTTATGATTTATGCAATCTCTTTTTGGATTAGATTTCAGTTTTTAGAGGATGTTTGAGAGTTGATTTTGGGTGATGATGAATTGAATTTGGAATTTTCTTTATGGATGATATGTTATATTATAGATTAGCTATTTTGATGAATGAATGGATATGCAAAATTGAAGGCTGGGAACTGAATATGGAACAGGAGTACAGAGTTGGTATATGATGCATTGTTGTATTACAAGTGTGTAAATGAGAATGGGGCAGGGCAGGCCGATGAATCCGAAGGCAGGGCCGGGCACGGGTTTAAGGATACCGCCCCAAACATGACCCGTTTCCATCCCTTATTAAACGTTGCCAGTCCACTCAAACACCCGTCTTCATAAAATAAAAGAAGAGACAAGGGAGACAAATGCACTGTCCACGCACCATAAATGTCATGCATGATGACCACAACACAAGCAAGGTACAAGAGTCAAAATAAATTAGACATTTGCATTCATGATTGCTAAATGCTAAGCAATGCTTAACCCCCTCCATCCCTTCCTTTTAGAGTCCGGATCTGGTGACTAAGGGGGGTCCTTAATCACTTGACTAAGCCCCTCTCAGCCTTTGGATTGATCTGATGGTCCAGATAAATCAATAAAATATTATTAAATGAGAAGGGTAGTTTTGGCATTATCAATAAATTATTAACTCCTATTTTTCGATTTTGTTTTATTTATTATTATTGATTTCTTTTTTTCCCCTCTGCAACCTTCTTTTTCGGTTTTGTTTTATTTATTATTATTGATTTCTTTTTTTCCCCTCTGCAACCTTCTCCTCCTTTTCCTTTTTTTGCGATGTCCAGAGAGAGAGAGAGAGAAAGCCATGGCCGAGGAAAGAGATCACAACGCTGATGGAGGAGAGAGAGAAAGAGAAAGGCGATGATGTCGATGGAGAGAGAGATGGTGCCGGCAATGATGGAAGAGAGGGCGATGATGACGACAATGGAAATCACGACGGCGACGACGATAATGGAGATCTCGACGGCGCCGACGAGGGTGGAGAGAGGGAAAGGAGATTGCGACAGAGGCGACAGCCTTAGAGACAGAGAAAGCAGGTCTAGCCGCGGCGTCGGAAAATAGAGGAAAGAGAGACGGTGGTGGAGGAGAGAGAGCGTCGGCACGGTGGAGGAGAGAGAGGCGGTGCGGCGATGGAGAGAGAGAGGTAGCAACGACAATAGAGAGAGCCAGCGGCGGCGGTGGAAAGAGAGTCGACGACAACAACAACGGTGGAGAGAGAGGGAAGAACAGTGATTTGTAATGCAAGTGTTGTCGGCTTGTATTGTTAGTATGTTTGTACATAATTTCAGTGTGATTTGTATGTTTTGTAAAAATGACAAACATCATGAACAAAAATAACAAAGTTTACAAACATTACAAAATAACAAAGCTTACAAACATTACAAAATAAACTGACAAACATTACAAAGCATACTAACATTACAAAATACCACTACTTACAATATAAATCGGTAAAAATGTATTACACATCAATCAATACAGAGTATACAAATCATAACATAAAAGTATACAAACTAGAGCAACAAATATTATAAATCAACATATATACAAATTAGTCATGTAAACATTACAAACACAGCAGACAAAAATAACAAACTAGAATGATAAACGATATAAACCGAATTGGTATAAACTTTACAAACTGGACTTATAAACATTACAAAATAGGTCAACAAACATCACAAATCAGTACTGTCACCGGAAAATTTGTCTTCTCCGGAAAGCGCTCTCTCTCCCTCTCGTAGCTATAGCTATTTTGGGGCACAAAAACCCTTGGGTTGGGGACTCAAAAATCCCGCCGCCGGGAGAATTCCCCAGAAAAGAAACGATCACCGTCTCTCTATCTCCTCCTCCTCCTTCACGACCGTTGGCATCTCTCTTCCCCTACTCCACGGCCGCCGCCGGTGTCTCTCTCCTCCTCTACAATAGTCACCATCGTCTCTCTCCTCCTCTACGATCGTCGCCATTGTCCCTCACCGGATGCGTCTTTCTCTCTCCCCGCAACATCCAATTTTTCTCTCTCTCCATGCTGCTCACAACTCTCTCTCTCTCTCTCCACAGCACACAACGGAGGTAAAATAGAAACAAACTCTATTATAATTATTAAATGTATAATTATTTTGTTGCCCTTCCTTAAAAGTGAGTGAATTATAGACACGAGATTTAAATAAAATTGAGTGACTGAAATTAACTTAGGGCCCTTAGTCACCTAATCTTAACCCTTCCTTTTAACTCTCCAAACGTTTAATGTTAGCACTTTTCGTCCTTATTGATCACCACCCGCCAAGCAATCCACTAAAATTGATCATAACATACCGTCATACCGTATTCCCCCCCAAACCAAAACCGCCCCGGGTAATTGCATTGCTCTCTCCACCACCACTTCCACGCCCCTTCCTCGCTTTTCCTTTTTCTTTATTAATTTTTATTTAATTACCTCCTATAAATATCCCTTCTTTTCCCCACATCTCTCCTTCTACTCATCACACAAACAAACACACCAGAAAATTCGACCCCTACAATCACTCTTTCCTCTTACCACCGCTCGTCCTTTTCTCGCCCTCTCCATTTTTGTCCTCACCCGAAAGAAAGAAGCAAACCGAAGCAAACTTTCCATCGATCGGCCATGGACACTAAGATCGGATCCATCGACGCCTGCATGCCAAACAGCACCGACATGTGCTCCGCCGCCAACGGCGCCGTTTCCACCGTCCACAACTCCGTCCCTACCTCCGTCGTCAAGAACCCCGAGGCCACTCTCGGCCGCCACCTCGCCCGCCGCCTAGTCCAGGTCGGCATCACCGACGTCTTCACCGTCCCCGGCGATTTCAACCTCACTCTCCTCGATCATCTCATCGCTGAGCCTGGACTCAACAACATTGGCTGCTGCAACGAGCTCAACGCCGGGTACGCCGCCGACGGCTACGCTCGTTCCCGCGGCGTCGGCGCCTGCGTCGTCACCTTCACCGTCGGCGGCCTCAGCGTTCTCAACGCCATCGCCGGAGCTTACAGCGAGAATCTCCCCGTGATCTGCATCGTCGGAGGCCCCAACTCCAATGATTATGGAACCAACAGGATTCTCCACCACACCATTGGCCTCCCTGATTTCACTCAGGAGCTCCGGTGCTTCCAGACGGTTACCTGCTTCCAGGTATGGATGATTCAAATCTTAATGAATTAATTAATAATTTCCTCTTGATTTCAGTGTTGGGCTTAGTTTCACGCTGCGCTCTGGTTTCTGGTTTCCAATTTCGTTTTCCCTTGTCTGATTTGTGGTAGGCTGTGGTGAATAACTTGGAAGATGCTCACGAGCTGATAGACACGGCGATTTCCACCGCCTTGAAAGAGAGCAAGCCTGTTTACATTAGCGTCGGCTGCAATTTGCCGGGAATCCCCCACCCCACCTTCAGCCGAGAGCCCGTTCCCTTCTCTCTTAATCCAAGGTACTTAATTTTCCTCCCTCTCTCTCCCTCTCTCTGCGATTTTTCGCTTATATTTAGGGTTTCATCTCTCTCTGGTTTCTGCTCTCGGTAGATTGAGCAATCAGCGGGGGCTGGAGGCCGCAATTGAAGCAGCGGCTGAGTTTCTGAACAAGGCGGTGAAACCAGTTTTAGTCGGTGGGCCCAAGCTGCGAGTCGCCAAGGCGTGCGATGCTTTCGTGGAGCTGGCGGATGCTTCTGGATATGCTCTCGCTGTGATGCCTTCCGGAAAAGGGCTAGTCCCGGAGCACCATCCTCGTTTCATCGGGACTTACTGGGGCGCGGTGAGCACGGCCTTCTGTGCCGAGATTGTGGAATCGGCGGATTCCTACTTGTTCGCAGGGCCGATCTTCAATGACTACAGCTCTGTTGGCTACTCGTTGCTTCTCAAGAAGGAGAAGGCCATTCTTGTGCAGCCTGACAGGGTGGTGATTGCCAATGGCCCTGCGTTTGGATGTGTTCTGATGAAGGATTTCCTGGAAGGGCTTGCTAAGAAGCTGGAGAAGAATACTACTGCTTATGAGAACTACCACAGAATCTTTGTCCCCGAGGGAGTTCCTCTCAAGGGTGAGCCTAAGGAGCCTCTGAGGGTGAATGTCCTGTTCCAGCACATTCAGAAGATGCTCTCTGGTGAGACTGCTGTGATTGCTGAGACAGGGGACTCCTGGTTCAACTGCCAGAAGCTTAAATTGCCCAAGGGTTGTGGGTAAGCAATCGGATTCCTGTTTCTTGTGAGTTGTTTCATTTGGGCTGCTTTTAAGTTGAAGACTTGAGGAAGCATTGTTTTTTCTCTGGGTTTGTAGGTATGAATTCCAGATGCAGTATGGTTCAATCGGTTGGTCAGTTGGTGCTACCCTTGGGTATGCTCAGGCTGTACCGGAGAAACGTGTGATTGCTTGCATTGGTGATGGTAGCTTTCAGGTATAGAATCTGTTGATGCAGTGATGATATCTAGTAATCAGAATCTGCATGGATGGAACCAAATTAGTGACTGGTAGTGATATGATGTGAAATAGGTGACAGCGCAAGATATTTCAACCATGATTAGAAATGAGCAGAAGACTATCATTTTCCTGATCAACAATGGCGGCTACACCATTGAGGTGGAGATTCATGATGGCCCTTACAACGTAATCAAGAACTGGAACTACACCGGTTTGGTTGATGCAATTCATAACGGGGAAGGCAATGTCTGGACGACTAAGGTGAGAGCATATTGACTGAGATAAGAAAGAAAGCGGATGCGGCTTCCTTCCATTGAACTTAATTTTGGCTTATTTACCTGACCATGTTTCCCCAAACTGTTCCAACAGGTATACTGTGAAGAGGAGCTGATTGAAGCAGTTGAGACGGCAACTGGAGAAAAGCAGGATAGCTTGTGCTTCATTGAGGTGATTGTTCACAAGGATGACACCAGCAAAGAACTCTTGGAATGGGGCTCCAGAGTCTCTGCTGCCAACAGCCGCCCACCCAACCCACAGTAGAACAACTTCACATACCAACCTCAAACTTGGCCGTGCTGGAGAGTGGAGACGAAGTGTCAATTCTAGTAGTACGTCTATTAGGTTTTCTTTCCTGTTGAGTTCACAGTATTGGTTTTTGGCCCTCTTGAAAGTCAAAAGTTATGTGTAGATTCTTCTTTCCTGTGATGGATTCAACCGTTAATATGAGAGGATTAGGTTCTCTGGCTATATTCCTTTTTGGGTTAATAGCATTTTCTACTCTTTTACTATCGCAAAATAACAAACGTACTCTCTACTAATTTTTTGCACAAATGTACTCTTCTACTATTAAAACGTAACAAACATAATCTTCTGTCTAATTTTTCGTTAAATGACTGTTAAGTGAGCAGGCAAATGACTAAATTGCCCCTCATTTGATGTTAATTTAGTTTTAATTATTAATAGTTCCAATATAATTAAAATTAAAAAAAACCCTTAACAGTCGTTTAACAGAAAATTAGACATAAGATTATGTTTGTTATGTTTTAATAGTAGAAGGATACGTTTGTGCAAAAAATTAGTAGAAGGGTATGTTTGTTAATTTGCGATAGTAGAGGAGTAGAAAATGCTATTAACCCTTCCTTCTTTCTTAACTTTGCCGACACGTGTCTATTCCGCACATGTAGAGCTCACTCCAGCTACAAAAAAAAAATTCTTAGACAAGTGGGCGGCGAAATTTCGTCAATCAGCTTTGGTGGGCTTTAGGGGTTTTCAAACGGATTGGTTACCTTGGTAACCATATTAACCGGTAGTATTTGGTTAATTTGGTTTGGTTAATTTGGATAATTTGTTTGGTTTGGTTAAACAATTTAGCTTATTTGGTTTAGCTGGTTTGGTTTGGTTTCAACATTGCTAACCAATGAACCAATTAACCAATTAATGATACACCTAATATACAAAATTATTTATACTTCCATGCAACCAACCAAACCAAACTTTCGTGATTCCCTATTTTATTTCCATGTGCACAACAAACCAAAACATTATGGGTCAAAAATTAAATGGGTCTGTCTATTTACTAAACCAAAACATTTTGGACAACTACTAGATTTTAAGATTACGTACTATACTATGACAACCACTTCAAACTATGTATAGTTTAAGTGTTTTATAGGAGGGTTTTAACCTCCTCACCAGGGGTATTGGTATGTATTTATGTTAAGGGGTTTGTTATAAGCTAACTATATTAGGTGCAGAGATGATGAATGATGTATTAACTCGAATGATGATTAGTCTTATTATTATTGCTTGTATATAATGATAGTATATTATAGTACAACATATGGTTATGTTTTATTCATTAAGAAGATAATTGTTTTCATGTACTGTTATGTTATTTGGTTAATTCGATTATCCGATTAACCAAACCAATTAAAATTTGGCTTGGTTAATTTGATTTTTGTGTTAATTTGGACGGTTTGGTTAAGACATTTTATTCCACGGTTAATGAAATTTAGGCTTAATTGGTTTGGTTATTACCACGGTAACCATTTGAATACCCCTAGTGGGCTTGGCTCCATTCCTATCAACCGGGTTAGTTGGGTCTTTATCAAGTTTATAGCCCAAGCCCCAAGGTGATTGGCTGGGTCGCTGGGATCCTGGGAGTTCCTCCGAATCCGATCCCTCCAACTCCATACTTGATAATTGATATAGGTTAACCGATCCTGTCAAGTATCAATGTTATCGACGGTGACATTGTACCCAATGAATATCCAACAAATATCCTTCTTTTTTTTTTTTTTTTGCTTGCACATTCCGGTTTGCAGGTACTGAAAATTTGGAGAAATTTTTTTTTACTACAGGTGACTGCTTTGTGCGTTTTTTTAACTAAAATATTGCTGGATTGATTGGGTCGTAACTCGGGACTTAAATGAACTCATATGCAAGGGAAGTTGCGAATTAGGAACTGCTATGGAGTCCTATATCCTGACAATTACTTTTGGAATACCAATCGGCCATTCTCGAGCAGATGAGAAGGGAATGGAGCTTGTCATTGTTTGATCATTGATGTGCGACTTTAACCTGGGAATGTTAGGGTGTGCACTCCTACATCGATGACAATGCAGCTCCATCGACAAATGCTTCTCACTATTTACAGTTGCTTTACCTTGACTACTGATTTCTTCCATCACATCAACTCAATCTCGGAAGAAGGCAGTATTGAAAGAGTTTTAATGTTTCTTGTTCTTCAGATGGCCCGAGTCGAAGTCTTTGTTAATGAAATGTAAGTGTAGTTGTCGCATTGAGGGTTCCTGCAAAAAAAGAGGAATTAGAGTGGGGATTATAAAAAAAGCTTCAACAAAAGCAATTGAAAAGAGGCATAAGAGAAGCTTCAGCCTGACATACTGAGTGATAGCCTAGACGGAAGACCAAGGATGAATCTCCTTGCAGGAAGCTTTCTGCCCATTTAAACCCCACAAAATGCATTATCCTCAATTGTTAAGTATGTTCTTGATTCACATGAGCAAGTTGGTCAAGACCTTGTTGGCAGCTCAACACTAACAGATGCTTTTTTGCCTGTGAAACACCCGGGTGGATTGAGGATTCCGCCTAATGCTAATATAATGATGGGTGGGGATAAAAGAATATGGTAACATTAGATCTAAAACACACTTTCACCTTTGGATAATGATCATTCACCATGACAACACGTCACACACCTCCAACAATTGACCTTCATGCCTCCCAGGATTAGGCTTGGCAACTGGGCCCGAATTCCAGGTGCCCCCCCCCCCCCCGGCCTGATCTGGTTCCTGGCGGATTAAATCCGCTTGACCGGATTTTTGACGGTTTCTGGGGAACCAGAAACCCGCTGTAGCCGGCTGTCGGGCGGTGATGGTTTTGGTTTAATCTGCCCCGCCAGCCCCCAAATTACAATCAGAGAACCCCATCCCTCCCCATTCCACTTCATTCGTGAAAAATCCTCCTCCTGTATCCCAATTCTCGTTATGATAAACCAATTTCCAACCCTGACCCTTCCTCTTCTCCTCAAATCTCGTAGTTTTTTCTTCAATTGCTGAGAAAAACGACAAATAATCCCTGCATTGATTGCTCAAAAGATCAAATACCCAATCAATCAATTGAAACCCCATCGACTTTTTCGAATCAAGCCATTCCCGATGGCGATTACAACTTCACTTTCCCTTTATCGACTCTTTCTCTTCGTCATCATCTTATTCTTCTCCTTCTTCTTCATGCTTGCCTTTATAAATACCCTAATTGATTGTTTTTGGCAATTTTCCTCTCAGATTCACAGAATGCAAACCACTCTCAAGGGAAGTAAAAAGCTTGTAGCTGCGTGCAATCCCTGTTTCCAGTCACTGCAACTCCAAGGAGCACAAACCGTAAGTCTTCTTGTAGCCTTACTCAATGGATTTGCGAAATTCTGAGTGTTTGTTGCATGTTTAAATCATCCCCTGTTTCGTGATTTCTGTAGGGTTGCAAGGTTATCGACTGCCCTGTTTCATTGATCATTCACTATTCACGAAGATAATTTACTCGATTCCAAAGTCTAGAGTCTTATTAGTTTTAGTCATTTTAGTTTTAGTTGATTTAGCCTTGATTTGTTTGCTTTTTCCTGATTGATGTATAGGTGAGGCAATGGAAGGTGTTGAATTCAGTAACTCTCCCAACTCTCAATCCACACCCCCACCCATCAACTGTGAACCCCAACAGCAGCAACCTTAGAATGTTGGTGATGCACCAGCAGCTGTTGTGAATGATGGTAATGTAGTGACTGCTGCTGGTGATGCACCAGTCAATGATGGTGAGCCTTCTCTGCTTTCATTTGGGGCCAAACATCCACTAAAAAGCTATGTTTGGCCTCACTTTACTAGGTTTATTGATAAGGCTGGTGTGATGAAAGCTAGGTGCAAATATTGCCGTAAGGTTCTTGGTGGTGATACTAGCAATGATACCTCTCATTTGAGGAATCATAAAAAAGTGTGTGTTCAAAAACAGATTCACGATGGCCATCAGAAAAATATTGCCACTAATTTCCTTCCAAATGGTGTTCGTGGAAGAAAGAAATCTGTACTGGTCAGTTTAATGCAGAGGTTTCTAGGAAGGAACTTGTTACTATGATTTTGATGCATGAGTATCCACTTGGTATGGTGGATCACTTGTACTTCAATATTTCTACAATTCTCTGCAACCTTTGTTCAAAGTTCCTTGTACAAACACTTGTAAGAGTGATATTCTTGCAATGTATGAGATTGAGAGGAAAAAGATGCAAAGGTTTATTAATGGTAACAAAGGTCAAATTGTTGTCACCACGGACATGTGGACAGCTGGTAATCAGAAGAGAGCTTACATGGCTATAACTGCTCATTATGTTGACAATCAGTGGAACCTTAGGAGTTTAACCACTAACTAATTATTTTGGTCTGCCTCTTGTGTCTTGTTTGATGTTGCGGATCACAGGTTTCTCTATGTTCCTGCTCCTCATACTAGTGAGAAACTAGCAAGTGTGCTTCGAGAGGCCCTCATGTCATGGGACGTGGATTGTAAGTTAGCCACTATCACTCTCAATGACTGTTCTACAAATGATACCGTGATTGATAAGATTAAGAGAAAGATGGTTCTTTCTGACTTTATAATGAATGGTTCATTGCTGCAAATGAGATGCTCTGCTCATATTCTCAACTTAATTGTCAAAGATGGGCTTGAAATTATCAAAGATGGGATTGAAAAGATCAGGGAAAGTGTGGTATATTGGACTACAACTCCAAGGAGAGTTGAGTTCTTTGATGAGACTGCTAAGCAAAAAGATGTTGGTATTTCTACCAAACTTGCACTAGACTGCCCTACTAGATGGAATTCCACACTCACTATGCTTGAATTTGCAATTCCATACAAGGAAGTGTTCACTCGTTTGAGTCAGAGAGAACCTAATTCTACTTCCTTGCCTAGCAGTGATGATTGGAAGTTTACCATTGTTATCTCCAAAAAACTTGAAGTTTCACTTTCGGATCTGTTTTCTGGAAGCAATTATCCTACTGCTAATTTGTTCTTTCCAAAGATTTGTGACTTGAAATTCGAACTAAATGAGTGGAGATTTGGTCCTTATGAGATCATTAGTGCAATGGTTGAAAAAATGTGGATCAAGCTCAGCAAATACTGGACTGATATTCATGTGTTGCTTACTGTGGCTGTTGTACTTGATCCTGCATACAAGATTGAGTTGATTGGTTACTATTATGAAAAGTTTCAAAGCCTTGATGCTACTCTTGACCCTGAGACTATTAAGGCCACTGTTTATAATGTGGTACGTGAGTATCAGTTGAAACAGAGGGGCTAGGGATGATCTTTCTGCCTCCTCTGGTTCTGGAAATGGTTTTGTTGTTCATACCTTGAGCGACCTTGGCTTTGAGCTTTATCTAAGACGAAGGAAAAGGTCCAAAACAACTTCATTGTGCTCTAAATTGGAC